CATGTAAAAACGTGTACAAATGCATGATCACATTAACAATATGAGTGTTAATGTTAATCAGTGTGTGCGGGTGGCTAACAAACCAGTGTTAGAAAACCAGTTCCGTAATTATCTTTGCAATTTAGTGACCTAGGTAACCAGAATTACTTCCCCAGTATGCTGGGAACAGGTTTCTAGAAATGGTGAGATGTGACAAGGGAAATACACTCGATATGTAAAAACAGAAGCAGTCTTTAGATATCATTAGCATTCGCTTAATCATTTTAAGACCAATTGATAGGATATTAAATTTTGAATGCAAATCTAAATTGAGGTTATATTGGGAAATGGAAATTGTGATCACCCCACACACATGAGATATACAACTTGGAGCCTGCATGTGCACAAAGCGCAATGTGGTGCATACACTATGATATGTAAAAGCAACCTTTGATAAACTTTTATTGCTTTTTTTCTGTTGTTGTTGTGTTCTATATCTGTTCTCTCCAGGCTTCGTGGACCCGGCCCGAGAAACAAGAGGTATAAGATTACCAGACCTTTAGCAAACTTCTTAGTTTTTTGGTTTTGGTTTTTTTAAGCATTACAGATTAACAAATCTGTAGTCCAGTAACCATGCCAACTAAACCAGCATTAATAACATGAACAAATTAAATATCAATACATAAAAGAAACAGCTTATAGAGTTAGAAGTTGCTTGGCATGTAGTAATGCATTTTTGGATGAGCAAACTAGCTGTGTTGGGAGTGAGTAATTCTGGTTGTCACTTTAAAAAAAAAAAAAAAGGACAAAAATAAAAGCAAATGTAAAATCTGACAAATACTGCTTTCACCATTTTCTTCTACGAATCATATCTGTCTTCTAGAGTTTTAAGAATTAGCAACAGCATGTATTCTGGGAAGGTATTTTTTTCCAAAGACAGCCTCTTCTGCTCCAGCCAACTCATCTGTTTGCTCATGGTACTCCTTAAGTTTGACCTTCTCTTAAAAGACAACTGCATCATGTTCCATTTCAAAATCAATGCAGATAAATCTTTCACAAGTTATATTTCTCCAGAAAATGCTCCAAATTGCTAAACTATTACTTGTCTTTGATTTGCAAGGGTCAGTGAGGGGTTGTGGGATAATGCAGTAACTCGGTCTGGTGCAAATGTGGTTTGTTGCTGTTTTATTTCACATTCAGTGCTGTATTTTAAAAACAATAATAATAACCTACCTTTACATGCACCTGATTTGTAGCATTCTTGCTTCAACATGGACCAGAAAGTATGTTTCCAAGCAAATAATAGGGGTCAGGTAGAGAATAACATTAGCTATCAGAACTGGGGGTCTCATATTTGTATTTTTAGGATCAGCTTTGTGGAGGCTCTGGGTATCCTGAATTCTTTTTTATTTTGAAGCCATCTTAAACTATAGAGACTGGTGTGGCCTAAACAAAGTGAACCTCTAACTCAAGCACCATCTGCCTTTGTTTCATATGGGGCTGAGAAGATACTGCCCATTCTTACTTCAATGTAATCTGTTGGAATAGATGAATTGTGGCAAGTGAAGGCATCGGATATTCAGACCAGTTTGCGTTGAAGAATTTGGAATTTGAGTAGTTGCATCTCTTCAGGCCTCATGTTAATTCCTATTAGTTGTCTCCATCTCTGCCCCTGCCACCCAGTGTTTTCACTGTGTTATCTGTCTCAAGCTTTTTATTAATATGAGCACTAATATTATTAAGCTTGCTGTCTCTAAGTTTCTTACTGCTTCTGTGTCTTAAAATATGCAAGCGGGGCTCTGTGAGAATGTTGTTGAAGCTTATTGTTACAGCTTGTGTAGACATATCTTTAAAATAGCTAGCATGGGGTCTTTTAGCAGTGCATTCCAGCGGCAGGGAGTTGAGTTCTTGGGAAGCTGAGTGAATACTTGGCATGAAGTGTTTCACTCTTACTAATGCATTAGCTAGTTTAAAGTAAGGAAGTCTCTATGAGCTTCAGTCATAGCAGCATATAGGGGTGTTAAATCTTGCTTTCCTTGCTTTGGAGGCACAATTGCTGTGGGCTGCTTCTTCCTCTAAACCACAGTCAGCTCTACTTACTGTGCACAGTCCATAATGTCTGATTCACCATTCTGGTCCTGCATATACTGGAGAATTGTTGAAAGTCATATTAGCAGCATATGCTAACAAAAAAACGCCACGTTATCACTAACAGATGCTAAAAAACTCAGTTACAAGCAAGATTACACCTCAGTTACACCACAAACTGGTGATGCCTTTCTGGTAACTGGGAATTAGTGCAACCTTAGAAATATTAAGAGCTGCAAATGAGTTCTGGTTAGTACAGTGCAAGCACAGAGCTGGGAGAGACCACTTGTCTTCCTTCACTGGAATTTGTAGCTGTGGTCAGGATTTCTGGGTGCTGTTTTGTAATGATGTCCACCATGTGGAAAGTGGGTGAAGAGAAGATATGACTGTGTGAAATTAAGTCACGGATACTTGTTTGTGAAAGGACTGAAAAATCCAAAAGGTGGAGGGAAGTGGGATAAATGCCTTTCCTACTTGTCTCTCCTCTTCCCCTTTGGCACTGAAGTATTGAAATCTAGGCCAGCTTTGTATATAGTGACTATGTGCCACATGGCATTGTCAGAATTCGGAGAAAACCACCTGCATGTATCTCAGGATAAGCTGTAGTAATTGGCGGTATTGAGAACCATCATACCCTTTTCTGTAGAATGGCAGTTTCTATGGCATGAGTTATTGCCTGTGTCCCTTTAGGTTGTCTTCTCATTACTATAAAGCATTTTGTTATCCAAAATCCTCGAAATCAAAGAGGCTAGGTAAAGGGATTAAAAGTGTCTACATCTGGCTCACAAGTTTCTAGCTATCCTATGTGTCTAAGAGCCAGGAATTGTTAGAATCTGATGGTCTGAAATATGAATAAAGAAAACTACTAGAATGCTCTGTTGGGTAGACATTCTTCTCATCTTTGGAGTATTTTTCCTGATCTTTCTTTTTCTTTACTTGTGCTTTTTGCATTAAGAAACAGGGCTTCATCTTCAGAATTGGTTGCATTACTTGTAAAGTTATCATTTTACCATGACTGCCTAGCACCCTTCTGTTTGTATTAGATCTTGACAAAGTGGGGAAAAGGCAGGTGACGCTGGCTGTAAAATTACCTTTGCTGTAACGATCATGTGCTGGTATTTTGCCATGTTTATACTCTTGCCTGCTGATGGGGTCATAGAGACGAGTATTTAGAATATTCACCCAATTCATGAGCTAAAAGAAGCTGGGAGCCTCTGCAGATCTAGAGTCTTGACATTTATGGTTCTACTGCAGTAGTTTCAGAAGTGAGCTGCGTTTTGTAGCCAAATCCCAAGTCAGACAAAAGAATAACAATATAGTCAGCCAGTGAAGAAAAATAAAAGCAGAATTTGGTTGTGTAAGATGCCACAATGGACGAATGTTGTGTTAAGGGATCCTTCCCTTGTTCTAGGAAATAATGCATACAACACCACATGTATGTGAAATAAAGAACTGTTCCCAGCAACATAAGGGACCAAGCACAGGAGAGGGAGTGGAGTATATAGCTTGTGGCATTGGTCAGGGATTGCAGTAGACCTGCGTGCAGGGTAGAAGAGAGAAGGAAAATACATACAAATGTTTTTGTGTCATCAAAGGACACTATTTTTGTGCATGTGAAATTTGACTAGCTCAAATGAACTAATATTCAGAACTACAGAGGTAATCAAATTTACTTGTAGAAACTTCATCAGTGTCAGAGATTGAGACCACTAGCTCAGAACAGAAAGAGGCTTCAGGCCCAGAGGATCTGACCACTTGAGATACCAGAGATGTACTTTGTGCTACAGCTCAGTGCATTTGACTGTTTAATATCCTCAGGGTTTTTACTCGTAATCTCAGTACTTGTCCTGTATCTTCCAAGAAAATTAATGCTCTTGGAGCATTAATTGCATTAACTGTGGCAGGCTGCAGCAGCAGGCACAGCCATGAAGGTACCTAATTTGTTCACTTGTGCTTGTGTCACTTTGTAAACTAGATGAGAGAGTTAGTGCTTTAAAGCTTCCACGCTGAAGCACAAGCACCAAGAGCTTGCACAAGCAACCAGGGTGGAGGGAGGAATCCATGGACTTACGCGCTTCATGTATTAAGAAAGCACTTAGGCTTTGATCACAAATTGGAGAGAGAAAAAAAAAAAGTGATATGGGATGGGATTGCTGGGTGACTGCAATCCCTTTGAGCAGATGGTAGCCTGGATTTTACATTCCTTGTCTCTCTATCATTGTCATCCCCACACTTTCTTGCATGTGGGAGCAATTTCTAAACTGGCATATAGCCAATGCATATTGTTCTAGAATTTTCTTCAAGCACCACAAGACCTTGAAGCAGGGTTGTCTCTAGAAGGGTCACATAGTTTTCTTGCCCTGTTCACTGTACCTTGCTCCCTTCAGTGCCATGTTCAGATGAAAGTTCTGAGCTTTCGTTTTGCCTGATTCAGCTCTGAGGTCTGGCTCTGTTCTTATTAATGCCATTTCAAGGACATTGAAATAAAACAAGTATCAGTGAGAGAAGAGGAAGGCCCGAATTCTCTGAGCGGAAACAAGGTAGCCATTGGGGAGGTTTTCTACAAGAGCATGGTGGCAAAAATTTTTAACCAGAGCTGGATCTCTACAGTTCTCATTCTGGGAAGAAGCTTGATGTTATCCAGCTGTCCTCAGACATGTAGTAGCATCTGTTACTTTGGGCCTTCATGTCATTTTTTCCCTTCTCCTGAGTGCTTTGAATCACTGCAGTTGGCCCTGTGCAACAAGGAATCTTCTTGTTGCTTTTGGAAATGCCTCTTTGTGCCAATGATTTCACCTGGCCTCAGGTGATCACTTCTGAAGTATTGAGCACTGGAGTGCTGGTGTGAGGTAGACTTGCATTTGTTTCCATCCCTTTAGTCTACACCACAGGCTCAGAGCTCAGCCTCTAACTCTCTTTTTCTTTTCCGCCAGACCCTGGATGGACGCATCGTAGTACGTAGCCATGCCCGGGTGTCATCTCTCACTCTCAAAGAAATTCAGTACACAGATGCTGGAGAATATGTATGCACAGCCAGCAACACCATCGGGCAGGACTCCCAAGCCATGTACCTTGAAGTGCAGTGTAAGAAGTGGAGGATGGCGCGGGGAGGGTGTTAATGTGTTTAGAGGGGGGACTGTTTTGATTTCCTTTTCCTGTGATGAGACTGAGGCACTTATGGCTAGGTAGGGAAATGTGTGTTGTTTAGGTAGAGGGCATGGGAAGCAACTCAGTCTGAAATAATTTTGATGGAGACATGTTGCTGTGTGCGTACATGCAAATGTTTGCTCTAGCTGTCTCCAGCTGTGAGACTGTTTGCACCTTGGGAAGATTATGGGCCATGAATCTGCCGCAGTCCCATTTGTTGGGTGCATCAGAGTTCTTTCCTAGGAGAACTTCCTGGTATGCACTTCCCTAGATGCATAGAGTGCTGTCTGCTTCGCCTCCCACACTGCTTTAGGAGCAGCCTCTGGGACTGAGTAGGTTTCCTCCTTACATCTTTCAGCAAAAGACACCACCCACCCCCCTAGATGAGAAGACTGTTCCCATTTCCTATATTAGATTCCCTTCCCCACTTTAAACTGGACTCCAGCCAAGGCATCCTTAAAGTGAGGCTGACCGGGCTACTTTAGGAGATTTTCTGGCTCAAATTGCCTTCACAAATGTGTCTGTCTTTCAGATGCCCCCAAGCTTCAGGGCCCTGTGGCTGTCTATACTTGGGAAGGGAATCAAGTGAACATCACCTGTGAAGTATTTGCTTACCCCAGTGCTGTCATCTCCTGGTTCCGGGATGGACAGCTGCTTCCCAGCTCAAACTACAGCAATATCAAGATCTACAACACTCCATCAGCAAGCTATCTGGAGGTGAGGAAAAGCAAGGAGGGGAGAAGGCAAATGCAGCCAGGCGGGCTCAGTGCTATCAAATAATTTGTTGCTGATGTTGAAGGAGTTAAGTCTTTTGTCAGGGTACCCTGTTGGTAGACAAGAAGTTGTGTGGTGTTTCTGGCACATAAATGCTCAGAAAATCAGGTATTAGAAGACACCACCCCCTCCTTGCCTTTGACTTTCTGCCCACTGCAGTTCTCCCCTCTGTGGGCAGCCCTCAGAGTGTTAGCACGTGTACTTTATTGTGGCTTCTCTCCCCAGCAAAATGCAGAGTGCATTCACAGAGTGAAAAGGATTTTCTGATCCGAGCATGACCCTTCGTTCCTTCCACAGGTGACACCAGACTCTGAAAATGACTTTGGGAATTATAACTGCACTGCTGTGAACCGCATTGGCCAGGAGTCCTCAGAGTTCATTCTTGTGCAGGCAGGTGAGCATCCCAGGCAGGGAGATAAAAAATGTGTATGCAGCCCTTGAACTGAGGTGACAGAGTGACCGTTCTTTTCTAGTTTTTGTTGGTGGGGGAGCAGGAGAGCCAGCTTCTACTTTCAGAGAGACTGTTCATAGATTTTTTGCGTTGGGGTGGGTTGTAGACAAGAAGACCCTCAGTATCTCTGTTTCCTTGTTTCTGAAGGGTCTCATTCTTTTCTGCGCTTCCAATACACTTTGACAGAGCTCTGATCTTTGATTTCTGACAGCCATTGCATATGTGCATACGATTGCATGTGTGCTTCTCAAAATCAGCAAACTATCCCTAATAGTTCAGGTAGCGCAAGATAGAAACCTCAGAGCACTATGTACCAACCAAAAGAGGCCTGGTGTCTGACTGCATGACAGACTGGAAGGGCCTCTGGTGTCCTCTCAGGGCTGCCATAGAGACAGATTTAGGAATGGTCAAGCTATGTATTGGAGTGCCCTATGGAAGAGACTGTAGGGACAGAATAGCATCCAGGATGCTCTTGTTACTCTGCTCTGGTTGTCCTCTTTTGAAGAAGGTACTGTAAGTCTCTAATCTCTTAGAGGAGAGACAAGATGAAGGTCTCTGCACTGTCTAATTAGCATTCTTAAAAGACCGCTTAACAGCCTTCCCCTCCTGAGGGGAGCCTCAGGCCTACCCTTCTCTTCTCCTTTGTGAAGCCATGACAAGGGTGTGTTGATATTCCCAGTTTTCTGTTTTCTTTGCCACTGGAGCTTGTTTCCCACTGTCTTCTGTATCACTGGTTGTTTTCCCTTCCTCCCCCAGATACTCCGTCCTCTCCTTCCATTGACAGAGTGGAGCCCTATTCCAGTACTGCCCAGGTGGAGTTTGATGAGCCTGAAGCTACCGGTGGGGTGCCCATCCTCAAGTACAAAGCAGAGTGGAGGGCACTGGGCGAGGGAGAATGGCATTCAAGGTTGTATGATGCAAAAGAAGGTAGGATGATAAAACAAGATGTTACCTCCCCCACCTACAACTCAAAAGACTTACTTTCCTTTAGGGGAAAGCCAGAGTGGAGGGTTTCATAGCTTTGCAATTTCAGCTCCTATATTAAGGCCCCAGACAAGTTCTTAAACATTTGCTTTGCAGTGACACCTTGAATTTTCAGTAGGAAATGAGGACCCCGCTGTGCTGATAGCTCTATGTGTGTGACAGGGCACCAGCCTTCTCCACCTACAGAGTGTGTCATGTAGCACTATGTTCATCTCTGTATGCCTTCCTTGTTCACACCTGAATAAGGTGAAGATACCTGTGCCTGGTATCAAATGAGGTTTCACTTGCTGACTGGGGAGTCACTGTGTGCCTCTTACAGAAGGCTTTTCAAGCCTTGTCTGTCAGCCCCTTTAGTTACCCTTCAGTTCCCCTTGGAACATAAACCCTCCTATTCCAGAAGCAAGCCTAAGTCCTATTACACCCTGTCTTGTTATCGCAATCTATAGGAATATGCACTGCTTAAAATGTATCCTCAAGTTCAGTAAACCAAAGGAATTTTGATTTGGGAGGACTATGAAGAGGAGAGTTCTGTTTCAGAGCTGAATCTTCCACTGCCAATCCTGGCTGGAACTGAAATTCTTCTTTTAGGTCCCCACTGGAGTGATGTGATCATAGATAGAGTCAGGTTTATTTTTCTCATTTCTCCCTTTGTGTCTGTGCAGGAAAAATAGAGCTTATTTCTTTCTTCGTATCGCAATGACCCCACAGCAGGTTCTTTCCATCTCTTACATTGTGTCTGACCTCCTTATAGATTGTTAAAGGAGAGAGGTGGGTTTCTCTCCTGCTAAGGGCTTTGCTTTCAGTTGGATCATGCAGCCCAACGGATGAGCAGTTCTAGGTGGTATGTCTTTTACAGTCAGAGCCCCACACGACAGTGGTCTTGAAGAGCATTATTCAGGGAGCTCCTTGGCACAGGCTGATGCCCTCTGGTGTCTACCTTGAACTCTGCTACAATCCCTCTAGATAGGCTGTGGCAATACACCTCTCAAATCAGCTGGTTGACACAGAGTTGGTAGCTCTGACCTTTCTTTTTGTCTGCACTCTTTATGTGAGGCTGGGCCCAGAAGAGGGCTCTGTTACATGGGGTGAGTGTGGCAAAAGTATACGATAGAAACATGGCATTTATTGTTGACTTAAAGCCTGAGCCTTTCTTTGCTTTTCCTCCCTTATTTCTGCAACAGCAAATGTGGAGGGCATGATCACTATCACTGGCCTGAAACCTGAAACAACCTACTCTGTGAGATTGTCTGCGGTCAATGGCAAGGGTGTGGGTGAGATTAGCCTGCCATCCGACTTCAAGACACAACCAGTTCGTAAGTAAAACTGAGACCTCCCTCTGCTTCTCTGGTTCTCTTTCCTTGCATCTTTTCAGGGAATCTCTTCCATGCATGGATGACAGCTTCTTCTCTTGCGGACCTTGCTGCACCCTTTGTTTTTGTTGTGCTTTTTGATTGTAGTGAATTTCATTACTAATTAAAAATCATCTTTGAAGGTGGGAGGCAGAGGAACTATTTTATTTGCACTAGTTTGTGCCCTAGGTTACTAGCATAAACTTTTTATAGTCAAAGAGAAGGGGCTATACAATGGAGAGTTTTAATAAGAAAAAGCAGCGAGTTGAGAAGGGCATTGGTCATAGAGAATGTAATGTCATTGTTGCAAGGCAGGTTTTTTTGCAAATCAGAAATTCAGAGGTTCAGCACAGGACTGGCCATGAGCTGTGGAAGGGGAGGGAGGGAGGGGGATTTCTTTTCTGCAAATCACTGCTTTAAGATGCCCATGCAGCACATAAGGTGATTTCCACAGCCTCTTACCTGCTTTACTTTGGGTAATCTTCTACTCCAATGGCAGGATGCTCTGCTGTGGCCTAACACTTTCCCTCCTGTTTCAACCAGGAACAAAAGAGGCAAGAATTAAAAACCAGAGAGTTATTCAAGACAGGAAGGAGAGAAAGAAAAAAAAGTGTAGAGTGGGTAGGGGAGATATGACAAAAGCAGGCAGGGGAGAGGTGGTCTCTCTCCCTTGAACACAGCCTCATCCAAGTATTAGGATCTGTATTCAACCGCCCACAACCCCTGGGGTTCTTCTTTCCCATTCCCCTTGAACTTAGATCTACAGCCTGTTCTTCTTCCCACCATCGCACGCATACTTGTGTACCTATTTCATAGCTACTCTGAAACCGCTATGCAGGACCTTCTCCTGAATTCAGAGCTGGCAATATTCCTAGCCCATGTATGTGCATGCTTTGAGGCCCTGTGAACTGTGCATGGTCTTGATTTTGTCTGCCAACTTCTGCCTCACCAGCAGTATGGGACAGTACACATGCCTTGTTGCTTGGAAATCCCAGGCTCTGTGCAGTAAGCCAGCCTTCACAATTGATGTCCAGTCTGTTGTGATAACTCCTGTAACATACCCCGCTCCCTAGGGTTGGATTTGAGACAGCTGGTGGTATTTTGATTTTCCAGCTCTGTGTTCTCTCTCTCCTCTTCTCACCTCTTCTACATTTCCCTCCCCCCCGCCCCGGCATCTCTGTCTTTTCTTTGGTCTGTGTTCCATCCATGGAAAAACTGCAGGCATCCCTCACTCACGTAAGTGCCTCTCTGCATTTCTTTCACTCTCTTTTTATGTTCCTAGAGTGTTCCTCTAACATACATAACATTAGCTTTTAATCTAGTACCTTTTTCCTCTCAGGGTCTTCAGAAGTTAAGTAACTGGTACTGTCCATTTCCTAACAAGACTGACACTAGACTAGTTATCCTGCTATGGGTAATACTGCTCTTTTTAGAACAGAATTAGGGGTTAACATCTTTGTCTTTATTATAAAGCATGCAATTCAAATATTTAACTTAGTGATTGTGTAATAATAATAGTTAGCTTGTTGATTACAGAGTGGAGTAGTGGAAGGCTTCATGTTTATGAATCTATTAAAAATTTTCAAATTTTAATGAAATGTAGGTAAATCAGGGGTGGGGCGGAACAGGAGAAAGTTGTAGCTAAATTGCAGATCCGGTTTAGATCAATTAAGAGCCAACCAAAAACTTCAGAAATTTGAATATCTTCACAATTTTGAAAGCAAAAACTTCAAGAAAAAATGGACATATTTTGCCTCTTCTCACTAGTACCTTTTACCATTAGTAGTCTTTGGACAGTCTTACAGCACTTGCGTAGATTGTATGCTCAAATAAATAAATAAACCTTATACTAAATAAAAAATGCATGTTTTCCCCTTCCCAATGCAAAATGAGTTAGAGAGATTGGATGGATGCATTTAATTGTCAGTTGGGTTCAGTGAAATATTGTATGCTCCATAGCTTTGGCCTTTCAAATTGGAGTTAATCAATGGCAGCTAAAAGAAACCTCTTTATCGAAGTGAGCATTATTCTGTTTATGAAAGTATGTGTCCTTGCGTTGAACTGTTGTTATTTGTAAGACTGCATGGGCAAGCTTTATGAAGCTGGGGTCACATTCTTTGAGATTTCTGAAGCTGAAGTAAAAAAAGCAAAGATTTTTTTTTTTTTTACCCTAATTACAATCATGCTTGTGCTATTTTTCCTTAAAGATTGTATTATACAAAAGCTTGGACTTAGTGGACCACTAACAGGATGAATGGATTGATAGTCAAGATGGGTGGATGAATGGACAGATGGACAGACAGAATTGCAAATTGCAATAATTAGAAAGAGGCAACTGGGAGACATGTTTCCAGAACACATGTGCAGTCCGTTGCCTAAAATTGTTTGGAGCCTATTCATTTCAGTAGAAGTAATATATCCCTTATATGAAGTTAATTGTGGTCAATATTATAACTCTCAGGCAAATGATTTGGTAGGCCCTTCTGAATTGGACGTAGTCAATGATACACAAGGGAGGTAAGGGCTTAGGTATTCAGTCTCTGTGCAGATCAGTACCACAGGAAAAGGGAAAAGATCCAATTAAGAAGAGAGGAAAAAGAACATTAAAAGCTTTATTTCAGCCATATCAACAGATCTGTCTGCCAAGCCTCATGTTGATCGCTTGGGGACAGGTACGTGGCTTTGAAGAGCATTAAATCAAGCTTGTAGTAGAGTTTTTTTTTTTTTTTTTTTTTTTTTTTTTTTTTTAATGTGGCAATTGGCTGTCAATCAGTCTGTAGTCCCTAACTCTGCTCCCTTGTAGGGTAAGTTCCATTTCTTTTTTCCTTCTTTGTGGGATATAACTTTTTTTTTTTCATTTACAAATTAAATTCTGCTGATGCTCTTTCAAGCACATTTATGCCTTGCAGCTGTGATCCTTCTGAGCATTTGGTTCTCTAGTTCTTTCTCTGCTCTCAATGGGGTTCTCAAAGCCCATCTCAGATCATGAACTGGGTCGCAGCAATGGTGAAGAGATTTTTGGCATAACAGAAATGCCTTTTTTCACCTGTGCTGGAATTCCAGTCACACAATATTACCTGTTTGTGGGCAAAGTCAAAAATCAGGAAAAAGTTGGGTGTCCCCTAGTCTGGTGTGATTTGAAGATCACAGAAATGTTTCAGAAATTTTGCAGGAAAGAATATAAAAACCGTTTTTTGACACCAGCCAAGGCTGTATTTTCAGACTAGCCAAAGCAACTAGTTTTCCTTGCCCTATTATTTGACGTTTCTGCTTGAATGTAAAAACTGACACCATTTTTTAATGCCTGCTGGGATATGTCCGTAGTTATTTTGATTTTTTAAAATTTTCTCAATAAGCAAAAGGTGGTTTCTTTCTATCTTAGAGGCACATGAAGGGCCAAGTAATTAGTGATAATGATATACTATACGAGCACAGATGAGAATTGTGGGGTTGGGAGGATATCTGTCTAACTTGATCTGGGTTTGTATTTTCATCCCAACAATTTGCTATTTTTCTGCCTTTCCTTTTCCATATAAATCCGAAGACAAACAAAAGCTCCACACAGACCTTGTGAATGGTTTCTTTTTGAGCCCCAACTGTTTCTTGCTGTTGTGCAGGTGGGACCCAAATATGTGTTAAACCACAAGAGCGTGTGTGTGTATGGCGTGTTTGGTTTTGATATCAAAATACCTTAATGTAAAAAAAACCAAACCAACAAAACAACACTAAAATAATCCCCAAATTTCACCAGGTCCTAAGCTGGCAATAGGATAGTTAGCAATGGCCTTCACTAAAACAGTGGTCATGTAGGCTGTGTTTTTGCTGCCATACACACAGTGCTGGCCAGCATCTCTGCTGGCCTTAAATGGCATTGGTTTGAACTCCTAGGAACACTGGTGAACAATGATGTTATGAGAAAGTTGGTTTAAAGAACTCACAGAGGATCCAAAATGCAAATTGCACTTACTTTGCTTGCGCTCTATGTCCAGAGAGGCTTGACCTGACAAAATCTTACCAATTTGTTTTTTAAATTTTCCATCTTTTGGCAGTATTTAACAGGAATCAACTCCCCTCCTCACCTTCCTTTCTCTTTCTTTAGCAAGTACTGCTGCACCCGCCTCCCGTTTAGCAGAGAGTGAGTATGGTAGAAGAGGCTGTTGTCTTTGTTCCACTTTGCTCTGCATGCATCTCCTCACTGAGTGTGGTGCAGTCTGCCTAATATCCTTGGGTGTTTTCCTTCTTTTCTGTATATATTTTTTTTTCCCCTCAGTGAAAACTGAATCTTCAGGTAGAGGAACTATAGATAAGCATAAGTTTGATTTCCAGAGGCACAGACAGCTCCCAGGTATGCTGGACTCATGGAAGGAGAGAGATCAAAAGAAAGATGTAGAGTGAAACCTTGCCCCTGTGAAAGCTGGTTGTTGTCACTGGCCTTTGCCATTAAGATTTCTGAGTTTGTGTTCCATTCTTGGGGATGTCTTATGGGATATGCTCAGCTTTTGTGGTGTGAAGCAAAATTTCCTGAATCAGCTTAGCACAGCAAATAAAAAGTTTAGTTTCTCATCTAAATAGAGCGGAAGATACTCAAGTGATCAGCAGGGAATGGCTTGTGCTTCCTTAAGCCTGTTACTAAGACACCTTCTGGAGTTGTGGAAGAAAACTCATTTCTTTATATCCTGCTTCATCGTTTTTTAAATCTGCATAATCAGATTCAGGTTGCAAGCCGCACGAGGGTCTATTCTGTTCTCCCCTCACACCAGCAGCACTGATATCACCATGGGAGGAAAAGGAATTCATAGAATCATAGAACATCTCACGTTGGAAGGAACCCATAAGGATCATCAAGTCCAACTCTGTGCTCCTTGCAGGACTACCTGAAACTAAATCATATGACTAAGAGCATCATCCAGACGCTCCTTGAACTCTGACAGGCTTGGTGCCGTGACCACTTCCCTGGGGAGCCT